GTTCATTCTTGTTCTCGTTGGCGTCTTTTACAAATTCTCTAGCCAGGGACATAGACCGATCAATCGAGCATGACGGATAGGTGTTTTATCAAATAAATGCCAACCACGATATCTCAGAATAATGGTCTTCGTTATGATGTTTAGAAATAACGTATCTAAATTCCAATAGCTAGTTTTTTCTTTTTTTTTTTTTTATGAGCTGCTCAAGGACCGAAAAACTTGTTTTTGCTTCTATGAAATTTCCCTTACATTTTATAAAGAAATGTCTTATACAAAAGTTGTAGGCATTTTAAATATCTACAAAATGAGGCCTGATGCGTTAAAATTCATTTCGGATTTTTTTTATAAATTACAAAAAACAGTTCAAAATCGCTGTTTTTTGTTTGATTGTTTTAACAAACAGTTTGTAATGTAGACATCTGAAAATGTTATGGACTATTGTTTATGACGTATAGTAAATGTAGTTTTTTTTTTGAATTTTTTGGTTGCATATTTTTAGCAAAAATCCATTTGTTTATTAAAAAATCACTTTTTTGCAAATTAATTTCTACAACTTTTGCAAGTCGTTGAATGTTCTATTTGGGCTTATTTTCTTTCTTAAGAGTTGTACTTTCAGTTTGGTTTTATGGCTTATTGATTCTTCCAACAGGGACCTCGCAAAATTGATTGCAAAAAAGTGCTTACCTGCAAAATGGAATAACTCAACAAATATTAAGCGAATCGTTTCGAAACTTTTTTCATTATAAAGGCACAATTTTTATCTAAATTTTAAAAAAAAAAAGGAGTGTTCTACAACCAATAGGAGCCAAGAAAATTTTTTTTTTTTTTAAATTTCCTGTCGCTGCATTTTACAACCTATGGGGCTGAAATTTTCAGAGAATACAGTTTAATAGTTAAATTTTCAGTAAAAAAATATTTCGGATTGTTTTAGTGATATATTTTGTAGTAAAAGCAATGTTTATGACAACGACAATTCAGTCGGTAGGGTAGAGATAACTGCTATCAGATGCTACGAGAAATGAGCACGGACATTTCAAATCGTGCGAGCTGGAAAAAATGTTGATATCTCGGGTTCCCGTGGTCACACAAAAAGTTATAACCAATCGATTTGGGGTAGCTCGACGAGATAAAATCAGATAACGTATTTGTTTTTATCGCAAATGACGTTTGAACGCCTTAATTGTTATTAATTTTACTTAACAATACTTTACACCCATTTATGCAGTTTCGTTTTGTTTTCTTTCTTATAGGTCGTCGATCGAAACGGTGTTTCATCAGTTTGTAATATATGTATAAATAAGAAAATGTACAAAAATAATCTATTAATTGTTTAGTACAAATTTTTTTGGGGCACATTCTTAAGATAAAGCTTATTTTTCTCTAAATTTCATGTAATTCCACAGAAAAATCATAAATTCAAGTTTTAGTGGAGGTAAGACATTTATTATATGATTTACATGTTAAAATGAAATCTATATAGGGGGAGAATTTTCTGAACTGCCCCAGCGCTACCGCAGCCAGGCCGCGTGAGCGAAAAAGACGACTTTTTCATCTCGTCGTTTGGGCCTAAGAAAAATATTTTAAAAATCACAAAGGCATCAATCTCCATGCACTTTTTTCTCAGCTTTTTCATAGTGCTATCAGTTTTCACAAATTTTCACTCTATAACCTATAAAAATGCAAATGTTGGTAAAAATGCGTTAAATCTCATGATGAACAAATTTTAGAATTTTGTTGACCATCTAGATCGAAAGATGAGAAAATTTCACCAAAGTATAGTCAATAAAAAAGAGGGATTTTTTAATATTTTTATGTAATGGACCAATGAATGAATAGGTGCGAGTCACCGTGCGGAATTGGTGGCTGCTACGCGCCCGCCACCGCTCCTAACGCTGCCACACACCACAAGACACTTTTATTTAT